CCTATGAAGGCCGGTACGGCACACGAGGGAGTGGGTGGCCAACACCACGCCCGGCCGCCTTTGTCTCCCTAGTAGCGATGTTTACACACCGCTACTCATTTTAGGCTGAGTCAACCTAGGGGAGGTCCAGGACCGGTTCAAATAATCGCCACCGGTGTTGGCCGTGAGCGGATATCGAACCCGGGTCGCCAGGTTCGTAGCGCAGCGCGCTAACCGCTACACTACCGCTCCCCACACACACACAGACGCACAAACACACCGACACACGCACAAACACACACCGACACACGCACAGACGCACGCACGCACGCTGCCACACTGGCAGTGCATGCACGAGCAGTCGCTTTGTTGTCGCGTAAAACTCTTTGGCTGGAAAATCAAAAGAGCTGCTGAGATGGGGAGGAGGTGGTGACGGTGGTGGTGGCGATGATGATAATGATGATGTGGGTCGCCCCCACCGCTCATCTTTTCTCCTCCCCTCCCAATAGCTTCTCCCCACCCCCCCAATTTGGCCAGACCAGCACTTACCGATCTTCAACCCCCCGCCTCTAGACGAGCATGTAAAGCACCCGTCGATCTGAGCGGTGCTTCATTCGCGAATCGCCTCCAGCGCTAAGAGGTAAAGACATCACCATCACTCACTCACTCATCTCTTTCCATCTACTCCTCTCCACGTGCTGTTCATCTTTGAAAACCGGCTGCTCGTCTCGGCTATGTACATATGTCGAACTTTTTTTGCGCCGTTCGTAGCCAACCGTGCTAATCGGAGGTGCGGGGGGAGGACAACGAGCCGGACACAAACAGCAGTTCTAAAGCAATGAGTTTTCAATCTTGGTGATTTAATAGTGCATAGCTCCAGTGGCTTTCGAATGTCGCAAGGAAGAGCGTTCCAGACGGCCGCAGAAGCGCATCTCAAAGTGCGCGATGCAGTGACCATCTTATCATCAGCATTATTAACTGTGGCTGGACAAAAGCATCCCCCGCCAAACCGAGCATGCGATGCAATTATCCATCATCAGCATCATCATCATATCGAGTTCGTGCAACGCAGTCCCATTTCATCGTTCCATCTCCCAGCGGGGGACGTGATCTCGGCCGCGTTTCGGTTCTGTGGATGCCACTCAGCTGTTAAGTGTCGACCACTTGAGCCGTCATCCCTTCAGCGAGCGATCTCTACTTCCTGAGCCCACCCTTCACAACAAATCGATGTGGTGTATCTAACGTGTGTATTTCATGCGATCCACGTGTCCATCCTCACTGTAGTGCAGAGTTAAACTGACGTCGATCTACCACCAGTGATCGACTCGGACTAGAGTTAGAATTCTAATTTTCGAATGAGCACGGTGAGCGAAATTCGATTTTATCGTCGAATTATTGTAAATCTTTACAACTATTTGCGTGTTTGGTAGACTATAAAATGAATGTAGTAACACTGCTTTTGTACCCAGCCTCTCTCTCTAGCTCTCATCCCAATGGAGACAGGGGCGGCCTTCCCTAGCAGCATGCGCCCCAACAGTCTGTTAAAAGCTGTACGGGGAATATTTATCTTTGCTATCATAATTAATTCACTAATGAATGTGTTCCGCCTTGAGCTACCGCTGCTGATGCTGTTGTTGTTGTTATTTGTGACATCTGCAGTCACGTTCGTCTCTGGCAGGCGGTCAGGATTTCACGGGGCGCTTTAGTTCCGCAGAGTTTCCGGAATTCGATAAGTCGCCAATTAGGACATGACGTCAACTCTTGTTTGTTTTCAGTTTGGTAAACAAATCGTGCCCGCCTCTAGCCCGATGCCGACCAGACGATTTTACATTGAACTTAGAACTCAGCGCATGCGTCAATTTACACCGTGGCCTTCAAAAAGGGGGAAACACACCTTAATAGGTGACGTGTCAAGCAACTCACCTTGGTCATAGCTGAGAGATAACGAAGCGGACGGTCATGTACATTTATATTATTTAAAAGGCCACGGTGGTATTGACGAATGCGTTGGGTTTTGTGGCCGTCTGTGCTCGCGCACCGCTGCCAACTGAAAGTTCTGGGCGTTTCTGGAAGGGTGATGCTCGGTTGAGGAAAGTGGTGGCCGTTATTGCCGTACGTAAGTTGAACTTCTTGGTTCTTTCGGTAAAGTCACGTAGAAGGGAAATAATAAAATGAAATAAATACCAAAATAATATTATTTTATTATTTCCCTTCTACGTGACTTTACCGAAAGAACCAAGAAGATGAATACCTGCAGTCACGAAAGCTTTAAATCGAAATTTAAGTTGAACTTATTCTGATCCGTACGCTGCCAACCCTGCTAATCGGAGGTACGTGGGCTGCTGGAGTTTTGTAGATCGTGTTCGGCGCTTGAGGCTAGGACTGTGTGCCGGCCACCGAGGAGATGGAGCGATGCCACAGCTGTCAATCCATACGGTTAACCAGTATTCTTGTACGGGGAAATTGAGTTTTTAGGTCTATACGGCGTACAACCGTTTCAATAGGGTAACATTGTGTTTGTGTATTTGTTTGTGTTTCTCTACTTGCGATGGGACTTTGTAGGATGAAGGTTGAGATGTATAAGGGGCACGGGGTGACTAATAGGGTTTGAATTGGTCTGTAATAAGGTAGGGCGCTGATAAGGGGTTGACAGGTATGCACTGCAAGCTGCTCATGTGCAAGTTCTTGGTGGATTATTGTTGTTGTTGTTACTTTGCTGGACTTAATTTAGAAAGGCCTTCAACTAGCAGTGGATGGACCATGATTATGAAAATGATTAATACAACTAATTCTTGCAATGGAGCGAGTCTTAGACTTAAGCCTCTTGCTGGCCTGAGCCAGTAGGTGGCAACTTCCACATATCTATCGCGGGGAAAGTTTTTCCATACGAAGACCAATGTTGTCTCGGGATATGAACGTGTTGAAATGAGCATGGAGGCTAATGAGCACTTTGTGCGGATAGTAACTGTAACTTTAACCCAAACCCTATGCTCAATCCTGACTCTGCTCATGACACATTACCCTATACGCATTGCTCTATCACTATCCCTAACCATGCCTTTATCCCCAAACGTACACCACTATCCTTAACCTTACCCCCATCCAAACCCTCTCCTTATCATTGATAACCATAACTCAACACTATCACTAACCCAATACCTAAACCTAACACCTGCTCTATCATTAACCCTGAACCAACATCTTAACCCCCGAGACAAGAATGAACGCTGACCCCTTAAAATACCATTAAATATCACCCGCGCATCATCCCCAACCCTCATCCTTGCTCGGAGTCAGAGGCGCCTATACTGCTGCATGGTTCAACCCTTTATTTCGTCGCAACGCAATTACCCGTAAGTGCGTGTCCGTTTTCGAGAGAGAGAGAGCCAAGACCAATTAGAGTGAAACGCAACTTCAAAGGCCCATTAAACAAAGAGAAGGAGGGAGACAGAGAGAGACAGGGGGAGAGAGACAGGGGGAGATAGGGAGGGGAGAGGGGCGGTGTTGGGAATCAGGGTAGCGCAGTCTGGGGTGATGGAACTTCAAGGGGGATTTTATTTCGATTTAAAGTTTTCGTGACTGCAGGGATTCATCTTCTTGGTTTTTTCGGTAAAGTCACGTAGAAGGGAAATAATAAAATAATAAACATAAAACATAATACAAATAATTCTCACTACGTTTCCCTTCTACGTGACTTTACCGAAAGAACCAAGAAGATGAGTTCAAGGGGGACGTTGGGTGAAAGGTCAAAATCATATCCGGGAGGATAGCACCGGGTCAGAGGCACCGAGTGGGGGCACCGATTACAATCCTGGGTTCAAATCCGGGGTTTCAGCCGCCTTGTGCTTAAAACGGGCTCTGGCGTGTGACGAGTTGAGAATTATGATGATGATGACGGTGGTGGTGTTATCCGGGTCACCAATGACTGGCACAACAAACGCCCCCATCATCGTTTAAAAAAAAATACTGTGCTGTTATTTCATTCGTTGATTGGGGAGCCGTGGCGCATTGATTTACGTACGCACTGCGCTATGAACCTGAACTCCTCAGTTCGATTCCGTGGCCGCTGCTAATGTCAGTGGCAAGTGAAATCTTCTTGCCAACACCGTAACCGACTCGGATGTCTGCTGTGTACGCGTGGCGCGTTACTTGATGTAACTCCAGGCAAATCTCGACGAGTCTCGAAACTTTGATTTAAAGCTTACGTGACTGCAGGGATTCATATTATTGGTTCTTTCGGTAAAGTCACGTATAAGGGAAATAATAAAATAATAAAAATATAAAATTCTCACGACGTTTCGACTGCAACACAAGCAATCATCATCAGATTATGAAATCCACAGCAAGAAAATCAGCAAGAAAATTTGCTGTGGATTTCACACCTGATGACGATTGCTTGTGTTGCTGTCGAAACGTCGTGAGAATTAAATATTTTTATTATTTTATTAGTTCCCTTCTACGTGATTTTACCGAAAGAATCAGGAATATGAGTCTCAAAACGTTATTTCTACAACCCCCCCCCCCCTCGCGTGTGGAATTATAAATTGGCCAAATCAAACGAACAACCTCAGTGATACCTCTTCTGAGCCAGCGGTGGGAAATTCCACATTGCCATGATGGGAGATGGGAGACAGATTATCATCAAGAGGACCACGCTTGAGTATTTATCTTGGAGAGAGGGGGAGGGGGGATGTGTGTGAGTGAGAGGTTGTCCAAGTGACGGTCGTGTAGCGATTATCGCTACGCTGCGCTACGAACCCAGCGAGCCGAGTTCGACTCCCGCCCACGGCCACCAACACCCAGTGGCGATTGTCTAAATCGGTCCTGGGCCCTCCCCTAGGTGGACTCAGCCTCAAATAAGCACTTGGTGAGGTGTGTAAAAACATCGCCACTGGGGAGACAAAGGCGGCCGGGCGTTCTGCTGGCCGTGCCGGTCATCAACGGCGCTCGCTCACAGCACTCAGCACCCACCAGTCCGTTAAAGGCTACGGGTGGGGGGATCTTTGTCTCTGTGCAGGGCGAGGATGTTGCTGCTGCTGCCGCTGCTCGTGTGCGGCCTCTCTTCTGCACTCTCCTTCACGCTCCCAACCGCAGCTCCGCCTCGCTCCGCCGCCCCCCTCCTGGCGCTCCCACCCAGCGCCCTGGACGGTGAGAGACGCCGGGCAGCGGGGGGGGGGGGTCGGTGGGGGTCTCGGTCTGCCTGTCCGCTGGGGGTCGTCTCGTACGGCCGCAGCGGTTTTCCCCCATCACCCCCCAACCCCCCTCCACGTGCTTTCGAATGCTCCCCACAGTTTACAGCGGCATCCCATTGACAGAGGACGTTTAAATCTTGATTTAAAGCTTAGCTTTCGTGACTGCAGGGATTCATATTCTTGGTTCTTTCGGTAAAGTCACGTAGAAGGAAAATAATAAAATAATATTAATATAAAACAATTAAAGTTCTCACGACGTTTCGACTGCAACACCTGATGATGATTGCTTGTGTTGCAGTCGAAACGTCGTGATAATTTGTATTGTTTTATATTAATATTATTTTATTATTTCTCTTCTACGTGACTTTACCGAAAGAACGAAGAATAAGAGGACGTTTACTTAATTATCTGAATGTGATTGTGGGTACTGTCATGTACTTACACTGGGAGGAATCCGATGAGCAATGAAGCTCTTTTTTTCACGCATGTCCAGCAAGGGCTGATCAGTAACGTTACTTAAGGAATATGTCAGTCGATCTTAATTTTGGAGCTTTCGTGACTTGCAGGAATTATTCTTTGGTTCTTTCGGTAAAGTCACGTGTACTTTACTACGCGTCTCTTCGTACTCATTGACATGTAATTTTTTTCTCTAACCCCTCCCTCTCTCTGCCTCCGCCCCCTCTGTCTATTTAAGGCCACCCCACAGAGACGATCTCCCTCTCTGTACCTGTGTTACTCTCTATATGTATCTTGGTGATATATGTCTGCTTATATGTCTGTCTATAGTTTTCTGGTTAGATTTTTTGTTGCTATTTCATTTATGCCTGATGATGATTGCTTGTGTTGCAATCGAAACGTCGTATGCAATTATTTAATTTATTATTTTATCTTTATACGTGACTTTACCGAAAGAACCAAAGAATAATATGTCAGTCGCTCAGGAGATGGAGCGATGGAATCTGTCGTCGCATGAACATCGTTAAGAGGTGGCGATGGCATCGGGGTGGGGGAGGCTTCATCCAGCAGTGGATTGAACATGTCTGATGTGAACGTGTGCACACACGCGTTCAACCCGTTGGTCAATCCACTCGTAGACGCTGCTGCTGATTGTGACTGTAATGACGATGGTCGTGGTAACGATGTTCTCACGATGATGTTCAGGAAAATGATGACGGATGATGTTGATGTTCTGCCTATGATAGTGGTGAAATTATATGGTGATCGAGTGATGGTGTTCTTCTGCCGGTGATGTTGACGATGTTGGTATATTAGTGGTGCCGGTGATGTAAACAATGTTGGTATATTAGTGGTGCGGTGATGTTGACGATGTTGGTATATTAGTGGTGCCGGTGATGTTAGCGATGTTGGTATATTAGTGGTGCCGGTGATGTTAGCGATGTTGGTATATTAGTGGTGCCGGTGATGTTAGCGATGTTGGTATATTAGTGGTGCCGGTGATGTTAACGATGTTGGCATATTAGTGGTGCCGGTGATGTTGACGATGGGTGCTCGGTGTTGTGTTCGCAGTGCTCTCGGAGCGCGGCTCTGCACTGCTCCGCGCCTCGCGCGAGTTCGCGCTCTCCGCGCTCAGCGTCTCCACCGCGAGGCGCAATCGAGAGCTGCTCATCTGCTACGGCGCAGGTGCCGTTTTCAGCAGCAGCAGTAGCAGCAGCAGCAGGAGGAGAATCATCATCATCGGCACCGCCGTCGTCATCAGTAGTAGCATCGGCATAATCGGGAACAGAGTCATCACTAAAGCTATTCCCCGCTCTTGACAACAGGAGATTGACAATCGTCATTCATTCATTGATTATTATTATTAAAATAGGAATAGGCATTATTTCTTCTGCCAAAAAACTTTCTATTTCTTTCAAATTTTGATACTGGCAAAAAAGGTCCCATGGTAATTAATGGTTATCCTGAACATCCTCATAATTAATATCATCAGCACCATCATGATTACAACCACTACCTTTAACACAACTCTGCTTTCATGATCATAGCGCTGTCCTCCATCAACGTCATTATCACCATTACCACCAAAATAAAAAAAATCACACATTTCCACATCTTACAACCACCAACATAATCATAATCACCATTACCACCCACAACCACCAGTCCTCTCCGTGACCTACGTGCCCATTCGTGTTTGTCTCTCCCCTCCCTCCCCCCCAACAGCAGCTGGTCTCACAGGGGCAGAACCAAGCTGCTCAGAGATGGCGGCGGCAGCGGAGGAGGAAGAGGAGGAGGCGACCCCGGGTCCCAGAGGACAGAGCACGGAGTCAGAGATGCCGTCTCTGACCTCGAAGACGATGGGATCCGGGAACGAACCACATCCGACTTCTGGCCCAGAGACCTCAGGCCCCGTGCAGGGACCCCTGGCCCCCACGGAGTCGTCCCCGCGTGGCTGTGCGCGCTTCGTGCGCCTGTGCAAGGCTGCCCGGCTCTCGGAGTCTGCGTGCCGCGACCTCGTGCGGGAGCGCTGCGACGCGAGGAGGCGCGCGTGCGGTACGGGACTCGGTCGACTCACAGTTGTGTGTGCAACACGTATGCCGTACGTAGACAATTGAGTTCAATTATTCGGTCGGGAGTCAATCCAAGCCCCCGAGATTTTTTTTTGTGTTACCAATTAAGACCCACTGAGCTCTCAATAGCTATTTTTTTAGAAGCGAACTGGCTCTCACACATCATGATTGCTCGACGAAGTGGCTTATCGCGTAGACATTTATCGCAGCCGAATACTCTAAACGCGTGATGTTGATTGTAAATGTGGAGGGAAAAACCGGAGGCCCCGGAAAAAAATCCACGTGACCACGAGAAGAAAAGTGCAAACTCCAAATATACAGCAAGTGTCAGGGTCACCGATAACAAATAAGCACCGCGTTTGTTAGAAGTCAACAGCTGCCATTCTAAAGTATCCAAAGTGTTGCCTCCCGCCGCAGAAACGTGGGATTTCCGCTCGTGTTAAAAGGCCAGTAGAAACTGTTGACCTTTTGACCTTTCAGATCTGGCCGTCGCAAGCGACGAAGCAACCGACGCCGGTGGTGGCGACGTCGCCACGCCGACCCCGTCTCGAGGCGCGCGGCGGGCAACACCGGCCGGGCCGGCGCTGGGCACAGTGGGGAGGGGCACGAGGCAGCGCGGTGTCGGGGTGCCCCGGATCGTGGGGGGCACGGAGCCCCCCCGCGGCGCGTTCCCGTGGCTCGTGTCGGCACGTCTCCGCGGGGCGCACGCGTGCGGCGCCGTGCTGGTGGCACGCAGGTGGGCGCTCACGGCAGCGCACTGCTTCCACAGGTGGGCGCCAGTCCAGGCACCGCTCCACGCTTTAGCTGGGATCGCTCGCCGGGGATAAGTCACTCGTCTGGGTTGTCTCACCTGTGGGATGGGCTCGGCTCGTTCTATGTCCACCCGGGCTCGCCCCAAAGGTGGAGCTAGGGGGGGGGGGGCAGGGGGGTACATATGTCCCTGGGCGCCAAGGTAAAGGGGCGCCAAAATTAGGCTTACAACGTTACATTAGAACTTATTGCGGCGGGCGCGGCAGCCTGAAACTACTGCACAAATCTACACCTCAACCTAAAAGTTTATATATCCCGCCACACACAGCCTACATGTCATGTAATTACATTTTGGTATGTGATTAAACGGGGGGGGGGGGGGGGCGCCAATTTTATAGTTCGTCCCCGGGCGCAAAATATCCTAGCTACGCCACTGGCTCGCCCTCATCTGGGCACTCACGTGGCGTCTCACCTGGGGTCTCACTCTAGCATACCTCGGCTGTGACGTGAGTGGCCACGAATGGGGTTGGGTGGATAGAGAGTTCTGAAAGCTGTGCACGTGTCTTGGTTGAGCTTCCCGAAATGTGCTGGCTGCTAGGGATCGTGGGGCCCGTGACCTCTGGCTCGACAAGCGTTGACCTCCGTAACCTCCCGCGTCGATTGTCCCAGGAGCAAACGTGAGGACGACTGGGCGGCCGTGCTGGGGGAACATGACCTGGTGGAGGTCGATCCCTTCGAGTCGACCATCGCTATCAACCGCATCATCATCCACCCGCACGTAAGCCTCACACACAACAACAACGACAGCCGCCGTCATTCCTATGATCACTGTTACATTGCTTTTATGGCTTTATTTTGGTGATTTCGAAAAGTTTTTTGTTTTGGCCATGTTTGTTTGTTGTAGTACGGAGTTAGACTGATGGACTTAATCTAAGTTGTATTGTGGTTGTTGTTGTTGTTTGACTTGCATCTCACTGGGATTTTTGCACACAGCGTTGGTGTACGGTGATTTTTGTGGAATATTTTGCTGTCTTTTCCCGGATTTTCTGTTTGCACATAGTCACATAGTGACTTTGAGATGTTTTTTTGTTCATGTTTTTGTTTTTTGTTTGTTGCGGTTGCACCCGATTCAAGAGCCGCATGGCTCACAGGGCTATACCTAATACATGAAACTGAAACGCGGCGGTGGTGGTGACACCACGACGCTTGGATGGACTCCATCGTGTGTAGTTGATTATAACAAACTGGTGGAGTCTGTTACACAACAGTACTTCATCTTAAAAGCCATTCACTGCTCCATGAATTGTATTTATTCCATAAATGCTTAATATCCTGTTCGCAATTTCGTTTGTATGTATGTTGAACTTACCGCGCTAATCGGAGGTGCTGGGGAAGGGCAACAAACTAAACACAAAACACAGTTGTAAAGAAATCAGTTTTCAATCTGGATGATTTAAATGTGCAGAGCTCCAGTGGCTTCCTAATATCATAAGAAAGAGCGTTCCAGACGGCCGCAGAAGCGCACCTGAAAGCGCGCGATGCAGTGGCCGTCTTTGTTCGATGGCTACGAATTAAAATTTATATTTCATCTCATTCGAATTGCCAGCGCCGTCTCGGATCACAAAGTGATTTCGGCAAACCCGGTGTCCGTGCGCGCCCTTGTCCTCCAGTACGACCCTCGCTCCTTCGACTGCGATGTGGCACTCATGGAGCTGGCTCAGCCGGCACCGCTCAGCGCCCACGTCTCCACGCTCGCCCTGCCCCCCAGCAGCCTCCAGCTCCCGCCCGGCACCCCCTGCACCGTCGCAGGATGGGGCACCCTGCTGGAAGGTGCGCGGGTTAGGGGCTGTGGAATGCTACGTCCCGTGCGCTCGCACGAGCAGCTATGAGCGGCCTGAGGCTGATAGGAGGGAAGGGTCTAAGTCCGTATTTACATATTGCAACAAAAATTACGAAGTCAACAAACATCATTATTTATTTAGCTACAGTGAGGGAAAAAAGTATTTGATCCCCTGCTGATTGTGTACGTTTGCACACTGACAAAGAAATTATCAGTCTATAATTTTAATGGTAGGTTTATTTGAACAGTGAGAGACAGAATGACAACAAAAAAAATCCAGAAAAACGCATGTCAAAAATGTTATAAATTGATTTGCACCTAAATGAGGGAAATAAGATTTTTATTTTACTTTTATTAATTTTATTTTTTATTTTTTACCTACGTGACTTTACCGAAAAAAACCCTAAGAATATGAATCCTTGCGGTCACGAAAGCTTCAAATCTAGAATCAATCGCCTCCTAGTCCGTGCAGCACAATCACCGCTGTACAATCTGTAAGTGCCACGTGCTCTCCCGCTGCCGCTGCTGCTGCCCCCCTCTGCTGCCCGCAGACGGCCCCGGCTCCCGGGTGCTGCTCGCCGCGCAGCTGCCCCTGCAGCCCCAGGCGCTGTGCCGCTCTGCGCTGGGCCCGGCCCACGTCACGGCGGGGATGCTGTGCGCGGGTCGCATGGACGGCGCCGCCGACACCTGCCAGGTGCGCACGCAACGACGGCGACCACAGCCACAGCCACAGCAACAGCCACAGCCACAGCAACAGCCACAGCCACAGCAACAGCCAGAGCAACAGCAACAGCCACAGCAACAGCCACAGCACGCACGCGACGCAGACGCCGACTAAATCCCGTTGGCATTAGACGGGCTGTTAGCGGCAGATGATGTTCAGAGAGCACCTGCGAAGGCCGGGTGATGGCACACGCAGGGGATGGTGTGGACGACGCCACGACCGGCCGCCTTTGTCTCCCCCATTGCTGATGTTAACACACAGCACCAGGGTATATATTTAAGGCTGAGTCGACATAGTGGAGGCCCAGCACCGGGTCAAATATTCGCATGTTTGTTGAACATCTTTCGCATTGTACGTAGCCAACTGTGTTAATCGGAGATGCGGCACTGTTTTTGGTCGCAAGCGGGAATGGAACTCGAGTCGCCGGGTTCGTAGTGCAGCGTGCTAGCCACTGCGCAGACGAGACTTTGTAAATCCACTGCTGGATGAGGGCCTCCCCATGCCGTCCGTATCGTGGGGGGGTGAGTTACTTTGGCCACCCTGTAATACTTCACCATGACGGCCGATGCGGGTAGGCGAAGGCAGTAAGATGCGGGAGCGTAGACGTGCAGTACAACAGCGGCCTTTTACCGCGAGGCAGAATCGTAATCGGACCAGAATCAGAACATGTATTTATACTGGAAGAATCCGATGAGCCATCAAGCTCTTTTTCACATACGTCCAGCAGAGGCTCCGTCTCGCCGGCTTTGTGCAACGCAAACTCTCCGCGCGCGTGTGTGTCGGCGGACAGGGCGATTCTGGGGGGCCCCTGGTGTGCACCCCCCCAAACCCATCGCGGGCCCCCTCCGCCCCCGCCGCCCCGGTGCTGCTGGGCGTGGTGTCGTGGGGGGACGGCTGCGCCGAGGTGGGGAAGCCCGGAGTGTACGCGCGCGTGCCTCGCTTCTCGCACTGGGCCCGGCAGCAGATGGCACGTAAGGCTCCTCCTGCACGCCTGTCATTCACTCATCAATCACCTGCCACTTACCGCTCGCCTGTCACTCGCTCGCCGCTCGCCTGTCACTCACTCATCGATCATCTGTCATACTTTTGATTTAAAGCTTCCGTGACTGCAGGGATTCATATTCTTGGTTTTTTCGGTAAAGTCACGTAGAAGGGAAATAATCAAATAGTAGAAATATAAAACAATAAAAATTATCACGACGTTTCGACTGCAACACAAACAATCATCATCAGGTGTGAAATCCACAGCAAGAAAATGTGAAATTTTTTTTTGTCAATCACTCACTGCTGACCACTTTAGTTTGTCGACTTAGCACAATAACACGACGTCTACAGATTAAGTGGCCCACCTGCACGCGTGCACATTTGAACGTTTGTCTGGAGAACTCCGCTCCATCGATTTCAGTGAACGCCGACTCAGTTGAGAGCTTTACGTGAAAATCGGGTAAAATTCACAAAAACTATTGACCTTTGACCCTGATGTTACTGCTGCCCCAGTTCCCGTGGGGAGCCGGGAGCCGACGTGCGCGGAGCTAAGACAACTTCGCGCTGTCGAGGCCGGGCCACTGCGCGAGAACAGAGACTCGCAGCTCTGCTTCTTCTACTCCCGGCCCTGCCGCCCCTCGCAGATGCCCCCAGGGGCCCCCTCGGTGAGAACCCCCGAACCCGGACAGAAGAACTCGCACGGCCCCCCTGGGGATCCCCCCGTAGCGAGAGACCTGGCCCAGGTACCTCTAAAGGAGACCACCACTCGCACAGCCCCCCTGGGGACCCCCCGTGATGAGAACCCCGAACCCAGACAGAAGAACTCACACAGCCCCCCTGGGGACCCCCCATAGCCAGAGACCTGGCCCAGAGAGACAGCCACTCGCAGTTACCTTGAGGGTAACCCCGCGATGGGATCCCTGTGATTCAGAGACCCCTGAAAGATACCAACGATGATCCCCATTGATGGTGGCCAACCACGAGTTCTTTCCACTTGGTGGTGGTGACGAGGCTGCAGCAACTCAAAGTTTTGATCATGATGATGAAGAACGATGCTTTGTTCTGGCTTGTGTTATTTTATGGCTGCTGATGGTGCTGATGGTGATGATGGTGCCGATGATGAATGCTGATGGTGTTGATGATGCTAATGGTTGTTGATGGTGCCGATGATGGTGCTGATGCTGACGGTGCTGATGATGCTAATGGTTGTTGATGGTGCTGATGATGAATGCTGATGGTGCTGATGGTGCTAATGGTTGTTGATGGTGCTGATGATGGTCCTGATGATGGTGCTGATGATGGTGTCGATGATGACGCTGATGGTGCTGATGGTGATGGTGCTGATGATGAATGCTGATGGTGCTGATGATGCTAACGGTGTTGATGGTGCTGATGATGGTGCTGATGATGATGCTGACGGTGTGTGTGTCCTGTGTGGGGTGTCCAGGCCCCTCTGCTGGGTTCCCCGGCGTCTAGCGACGTGTGCCAGCGTGCGTCGCGCGTCTCCTGCGCCAAGAAGAAGCGGGCGTGTGGTGAGTGGGACCCGGGCCTAGGCTCACCCAGCTTCAAGGCTTCAATGATACGAGCATTCAATGCATTCACATGCGATGGCTTGCAAGTGCACACCACGCCTGCATACACACTGGCTCACGTGCGCATGCGTTGACGTGTGTGGAAGTGTCCACGTGCGTTCACGTGTGTGTAGGCGGCGCACGTGCGCTGACGCTCGTGCCTGCGTGCGTGCTCATTCTTTTATTCCACAGAGTTGCGGGATGTACTGGGGGGCCTGGTGCGATCACTGGGTCGAGAGTCGGAGCTGAGGAGGAGACACGGGGGCTTCCCGGGGCCTCTGAGTGCCCCCATCTCCCACCCACTACAGCAGCAGCAACAGGAACAGCAGGAGTGGGAAGAACTGCAGCAGATACAGCAGTGGGAGCAACAGGAGGATGAGAAGTGGCAACGACAGCAGCAGCCGCAGCGGGGAGTGCGACAGCAGCAACCAGAACAACAGGTGCAGCAGGAACAGAATCAGCAGCAGCAACAACAGCAGCAACAGCAGCCACAGGGACAGCAGCAGCAACTGGAACAGCAACCTGAACAGCAAGAGCAGCGGCAGCAGCAGGAACAACAACAGCAGCAAGAACAGCAGCAGCAACTGGAACAGCAACCGGAACAGCAACAGCAGCCACAGCAGCAGGAACAACAGCAACAGCAGCCACAGCAGCCAGAACAGCAGCAGCAGCAGGAACAGCAGCGACGTCGGGTATTTAAAGTGACTGAACTTCTGGAACCGCTGAATCGGAGACAACATATGCTAGGGCGACAGCAACCAGACCTCATTCACATGCAGCACCTACAGCTAGAGCAGCAACAACAACAGCAACCACGACATCAACAACAGGCGCAGCATCAACTGCAACATCAGCTGCAACAACTGCAGCAGCAGCAGCAGCACCAAACGAGTCTGCTTCAGCAGCAAATGAATCAAACTCGGCAGAAGCAGCAAACGAATCAGAGCCAGAAGCAGCCGAATCTAACCGAGCAACGACATCAACTGAATCAGATTCAACTGCAGCAGAATCAAACTCATGACGAACTGAATCAGATTCAACTGCAGCAGGATCAAACCCAGGACGAACTGAATCAGATTCAACTGCAGCAGAATCAAACTCAGGACGAACTGAATCAGATTCAACTGCAGCAGAATCAAACCCAGGACGAACTGAATCAGATTCAACTGCAGCAGAATCAAACTCAGGACGAACTGAATCAGATTCAACTGCAACAGAATCAAACCCAGGACGAACTGAATCAGATTCAACTGCAGCAGAATCAAACCCAGGACGAACTTAATCAGATTCAACTGCAGCAGAATCAAACCCAGGACGAACTGAATCAGATTCAACTGCAGCAGGATCAAACCCAGGAAAAAATGAATCAGGTTCAACTGCAGCAAAATCAAACCCAGGACGAACTGAATCAGATTCAACTACAGCAAAATCAAACCCAGGACGAACTGAATCAGATTCAACTGCAGCAAAATCAAACCCAGGAAGAACTGAATCAGATTCAACTGCAGCAGAATCAAACCCAGGAAGAACTGAATCAGATTCAACTGCAGCAGAATCAAACCCAGGACGAACTAAATCAGATTCAACTGCAGCAAAATCAAACCCAGGATGAACTGAATCAGATTCAACTGCAGCAAAATCAAACCCAGGACGAACTGAATCAGATTCAACTGCAGCAGATTCAAACCCAGGACGAACTGAATCAGATTCAACTGCAGCAGAATCAAACCCAGGAAGAACTGAATCAGGTTCAAGTGCAGCAAAATCAAACCCGGGAAGAACTGAATCAGGTTCAAGTGCAGCAGAATCAAACCCATGAAAAATTGAATCAGGTTCAACTGCAGCACAATCAAACCCAGGACGAACTGAATCAGGTTCAAGCGCAGCAGAATCAAACCCTTCAAGTGAATCCATCCCAGGATACATATCAAGTGCAATGGCAGCATTTGAATCAAACAGAAGACCTCAATCAGACACAGCAGCCGCTGAACGAAAGCACAACTCTCAATGGTCTTATTCCGCTCAATAAATCCCAGCTGTATCAATCTCATCAGTGGATAAATGATCAATCTCACGAGCAGCTGGATCAAACCAAGCAAAGACAGAACCAAAGCCAGGGACTGGATCTGTCCGAGCAACTGAATCAAACTGAACTGCATCTACAACAGCATCAGTTCCAGCAGCAGCATCAGCCAGATTATTTACAACAACCGGATCTAACCCAACCTCAACCGCATCAAACTCAGCAGGTGCCGAGTCAAAATCTATCGGATCCATCCCATGAGGATCTACATCAAAGTGAACAACTCAATCAGCAGCTAAATCAGTCCCATCGCGAGGGGTACCTATCCCACCCGGAGTTAGATCGAACCGAACAAGTGACTCAATCCCACGCGGAGCTGAATGGATATCACCAGCAGCTGGATCACACTAAACGGTTGAATCAATCCCAGCATCAGCTCAATGAAACACATCGGCAACTGGATCAATCTCACATAAGTAATCGGTCCCAACTGCTCGATCAATCCCGACACCTTCTAAGTGAAACCCAACAACCGAATCGACCCTACCAACAGCTGAATATATCCAGCCAGGATCTAAATGACACCCAACAAACGAATCAAATGCAACAGGTGCATCAATCCCACCACGAGCAACAGCAGGTGGATGAAGCCCTCCGGCTGGCCCCGGGTCCGCCGTTCCTGTCGCCTGCGTCCTCCTGTCCCGGGCTCCGAGCGGCCGAGGAAGCCCTCTCTCGGGAGACCGACTCCTGGAGATGGGTCCTCAGGGTCCCCGAGGAGAAGCTGCTCATGGAGTTCACGCACGTGAGGCCCGCCCCACCGGCCCCCACACGAACCCCGCGGTTTGCCAGAGACAGAATCTGTGTTTTTAGAACACAAGCAATCGTCATCAGGTCAAAAACAAACCGTAGTGAACTTAGAAATGCAATGCAATACAACACAGGGAGTCGGCTAACAACACACTCAGCACTTTAACTGGTTGATTACGTTCTTCCAAAGTTGCTAAATTTGAGAGAGAGACAAAACACAGACAACGGAGACACACAGACAGACACACAAGTAGAGAGAGACAACACAGAGACACAGAGCAGAGGTCGCAATCGGGTATCTGATACCCGTATCCTACCCGATACCCGGCTACCCGTACCCGGCCGGGTACGGGTACCCGTTTGCGACCCTGGTGCGGCCGGGTACGGGTACGGGTAAGGAAACAAAACCCGTTTGCGACCTCTGACACAGAGAGTGAGACACACACAACATAGACACACAGAAACCCAACGCCTCTGTGTCGAGGCACTCGAAATTGAATGATCTGCATGTGAACGCATCAATAAATACATTCATAAAACCACCCCCTCCTCCAACCGCACCACTTGTCAACACCCTCCCCCCATTTCCTCCGCCCCCCCCCAATCCCATCGTACCCCCCCTCCGCTCTAGGTGTGGCTGGAGTCGCGCACGAGGATTGCGCGTGTGCGGGCCCTGGTGAACGGGGAGGCCCTCCTCTTCTCGACGGCGCTGGGCCCCGAGGGAGACTCCCTGCAGACTCGGCTCATCCGCATAATCGCCCCCGCCCTGAGGGCGGCGCGGGCACCCCGAGGCACGCGGGGTCAGGGCCAGACTCGGGCGGCTGGGTCGAGGTCGGGCTGAAGGGTTTTGGGGTCAGGGTTTTGCCGTCAAAGAGTCGAGGTTCGGGCCGATGTCTCGCCTCTCTCAAGGTCGGGAGGGGTTGGGTCAATGCCGTGACTGGTTCTGGTTGGGGGGGTTGGTGGAGATTTGAGGGGCCAAGGTCATGGCTGAGTCAGAGTCAGCGTGTAGGCGCGTGGCCAATCAGGGTCAAGGTCTGATTGAAGGTCACGATGATGTCAGAGGGGTCAAGATCATGGTCAAGATTGTGGCCAGGGTCAATGTTGGGCCGATGCTCGTGTTCTACCACGCACAGCCTCGCCATGCTGGATGAGGGCCTTCCCCCACCACGTGGGTCACGGTGGGGGGGGGGGGGGGGGTATTTGACCTCGCTGGTCAGTGCAGGTTAGCGAAGGCGGGGTGGGGGGGAAATAGACGTGGCCCCATTCAAATACAGTACATTACAACAACGCATTATTTGGGTCTTTCGGTAAAGTCACGTAGATAGGTTCAAAGAAAATGACAAAAAAATATTATTATTAAATAATAATATAATATTATTATTTGTTGTTATTATTTTATTATTATTTAATAATATTTTATTTTAACCTATCTACATGACTTTACCGAAATACCCAAACAATATGAATTCCTGCAGTCACGAAAGCTTTCAGTCAAGACGTTATCACAACAACGGTTTTGCTGCACCGCCCTCTGCTGCCCACAACACAGAGTTGCCCACGCAACCGCCTCTGACAACCGGCGTAGACGGTGTTCAGTTAAAGGACGTGAACTAAAATTAATTATGAATCGCAACGAGCTCTCACCCGCCTTAGTGAATAAAGGGAGTCAATCGCAGGAGGTTAACGCATCGTGACGGGTCCTTGTCTGGTTTAAATAATAAAGGGATGCAAATTACAAGGAGATCATGATTCGCATTAGACTTTCGCATGGTGAAATAAAGGCCGACAAGATAATATTGGCGAGCTCATGCCAACTCTTCGGGTTTTTTTCCGGTAAGTCACGTAGGTAAAAAATAAAATTAAAATTAATAGAAGTGATTTTTATTTTACTTTTATTAATTTTATTAATTGTATTAATTTAAATTTTATTTTTTACCTACGTGACTTTACCGAAAAAAAACCTAAGAGTATGAATCCTTGCAGTCACGAAAGCTTCAAATCTCGAGCTCATGCCTGGTTACATTCCTGCGGAGGGAGCTAGTAGTAACGTTGGGTTGCTCGGTCAATGGCCAGAGTCAACGGCGGCGTGGTGTATTCCGCAAATATGCCCGACTGTGAGGGCGGGCACAAGCCGGCGTGAGTAGGTAAAACGTTGAGTTTTATAAGGGCACCACGGGGTGACCAGCCCCTCCCCACCCGGCCCGACCCCACCCTCCCCACCCAGCCCCTCTCCACCCTCCCCACCCAGCCCCTCCCCACCCAGCCCCTCCCCACCCTCCCCACCCAGCCTCTCCCTCCCCACCCAGCCCTTCCCTGCACGACGGACACAATAATCCCCTGTGGGCTGGTGTAACCAGAAGGTTCCTACCAGTAACAAAGGACGTGGAGCAGCAAAGACGAATAGTTATGGCCTCTGGTCTGGTCGGAATCAGGACGTCAAACGCAAGAGACCAATGCATCTCAATTGAACGTTCACCTGGTTCAATAAAGGCTGTCAGTGAACAAGAGATGATGGGTCTCAACGGTCTCTTGCCTGGTCAAGCATACTGAAATGTGAAATTGTAGCTTGCTGGACAACTGTGCAAAAACAGAGCTTCAATGCTCATTGGATCCCTCCAGTCTAAATGAACATTCTGATTCTGATTCAACAAATAGTTTTATCTTTAAAAACAAATCTGTACAAAACATCTGCTTGTTTATTATCGATACAATTGTAATGTTATTTTATGTAAAGTATTTTCTATCATGTTTTTTATCGGTTATTTTTTTTAAATGTACAGTTTTGTTCTGTTGGTAAATAAAATTTTAATTTTTTGGTATAAAATTTGTGAGCGTGATATGATTTGTGACACTACGCACAGGAAAGGGTCCTCTCTGGAGGAGACCATCTGAAAGGGTTTCAAACAAAGGACTCCGTTTTCTTGGTTCTTTCGGTAAAGTCACGTAGAATGGAAATAATAAAGTAATAAAAAGAAAAATAATTAAATATATTTTTATATTCTTTTATAAAGTCACGTAGAAGGGAAATAATAAAATGTAAACATACAAAAACATATTTATATATTATTTTATTCTGTTTTATTTTTATTAGTTGAAACAATAAATAAATCATAAAATATCTCTACTTTTCCCTACTAAAATATATTAATATATTATTTTGTTATGAATTGGCACGTTCTGTTTACGTGACAGCCCTTACTAGTTGGCTGTGTCGGGTGGTGGCGGGTTAAACGACACATTTATGTATTTACGCGATCTAACCCAACAAAAACCTCTATTATGGATGGCGGGGGTGTGTGCCACAAGTTGTGTATTGTCAGGGGCTGCACGTAAGTGGCCCCATCAAAGGCCACTAGGGGACGCCAGTGGCCCGTCACAAATTGTGCTGTGATGGTTCCACCTGAAGACGGAGACTTGTGTTGCCTCCGAAACGTCGTGATTTAATTGAGTTTCATTTATTATTATTTAATTGAGTTTCATTTATTACTATTTTTTTTTACCTACGTGACTTTACCGAAATAACCTAATAGTATGCAATGATCCAGCCGGCGCGATTTTGGACAAACCTTTCGTTGACTTAAAGCTTTCGTGGCTGCAGGAATTCATATTGTTTGGGGTCTTTCGGTAAAGTCACGTAGATAGGTCGTTCGTCATCAGGAAGATGACGAACGCTTGTGTTGGGATCGAAACGTAGGTTTTGGTTATTTTCTTTGAGCCTATTTACATGACTTTACCGAAAGACCCCAAGAATATAAAGCTTTCCTTAATTTGCATTTAAAAAGCCGAACTTACGTAGTTAAAAAAACAAATCTCGTCGGTTGATGAGATGTTAATTACCTCGCCTGGTATACAGGAGTTTGTGGATTCGATCCCGACCCAGACGCCTGCTGAGTCTGAATGTTATCCCCGTGATTGCGTGGATTTTTATCCGGGTCCTCCCGTTTTTCCCTCCAAATTTAGAAACACGCGTTTAGAGCATGTGGCTGCTATAAATGTGCACGTGATAAGCCACTTCGATGAGATTTCATTTGTGGTCAGGTCGCTTCTGAAAAAGAGCATCATAGCTCAGTGGGCCTGAGCTGGTAAAATAAAAATAGTAAAGAAAACATTTTAAAAAACTTCGACGACGGCAGGATTCGAACCTGCAATCTTCTGATCCGAAGTCAGACGCCTTATCCATTAGGCCACGCGGCCACACTTGATAAGCTGGATGATCGAAGTCATTGTGTATGACAGTTCAAACGGGCAACAGAGCGGCGATCATCTTTATTGGCTTGCCCTAAGCTCGCGGTCTAACCCCCAAAAAACAACCTTATTTTGAATAATATTGGTCGCGAAAGCCCACGTGTTACACTTATGAATCTCCAATTGGGAATTACTGGGTGAGGATCGTGGAGATGAAACAAAAGATGACGGATTTTTGTTCGCACTCACTTAACCGTCAAAGTAACAGAATCAGTTTTTTTTTCAGAATCACAACATTTATTTATACTCGAGGAATCCGATGAGATTTAAATATATTTTTCATAGATCTCCACTAGGGGACAACGTCAGGACGTTACAATACAAATAAGTAATATTAACAAATACTTTTTTTAAACACGCTTTAATGAAATGTACCCTACTCGTAATGGCAGAACTCCAGAAAGTGGCCCCGAAGCTTGCCATAACGTAAGGGGCCGTGGTGATTTACAGCCAACGTCAGTTGAGCGTTGACAATTAGACCCAAGCCGAAACATAACGTACATAAATGCATTCTTAAAAATACTTTTTTTATGATAGAATATAGTATTGTCATCAGTATGACATGAGTATACCAAGCTTGCAGTCGATAACACATTGGGAAGTGGGTTGAAATTGAGTTACAAGATTTGAGCATACGACAACAACAGACAGTGAGTTAAATTGAAGCGTGTAAAAACACGATAGGTAGCCAGGGGACCAGTGTCAATTCTCTCCATGTCACAAATAATAATGCGTCTAAACTACAGGTTTCTGTCCGTGATAATCGCTGTAGACAAATAGAGCGGTCACCCATCCAAAAAACGATTAGCCAAGCTCAATCCTGAGTACTGTGTGCGGTGCATTGGAATAGCTAAACAATGACCGGTATTGAACAAGCAATGCCTCAGGCGAGTCTAAAGACTCATTCGTAGGATGATGCAGTTCAAAGCACGGAGGCCGCGTGGCCTAATGGATAAGGCGTCTGACTTCGGATCAGAAGATTGCAGGTTCGAATCCTGCCGCGGTCGACTTCGACTTTTGTTTTATGAATGAAACGCATTCAAATTGTTTTAGTTTTTTCGTTCTCCTGCAATAAATCGCATCCCAATGACCCATGTTGTTGGTCAATCTCACCGCTTAAAGGATGTGTCATGCCCAAATGGCACTTGCTTTTCTGAATAGTGAAAGTTATTTTTTACTGGTAGAGACCCCCTGGTTACACCAGCCCACAGGGGATTATTGTGTGTGTCCGTCCGTCGTGCATCCAAAAATGGGAGGGGTGGGGCTGGGTGGAGAGGGAAGGGTGGGGAGGGGCTGGGTGGGGAGGGGTTGGGTGGGGAGGGTGGGGAGGGGCTGGGTGGGGAGGGTGGGGAGGGGCTGGGTGGGGAGGGGCTGGTCACCCCGTGGTGCCCTTATAAAACTCAATGTTTAACCTACTCACGCCGGCTTGTGCCCGCCCTCACAGTCGGCCATATTTGCGGAATACACCACGCCCTGGCCGTTGACCCTGGCCATTGACCGAGCAACCCAACGTTCCTACCAACTCCCTCCGCAGGAATGTATTGTAATTTAGTATTTCTTCTCGAATGCTGGCGTTCCTCCTTCCGTGCCTCGGCGACAAACCGCTCCAAAATCCTTCGCGTGGC